CGCCAACAAGTCACAGACACCTACTGTAGAATAATCCTAAGCCCAACAACTACATAGTATATATTTATACTATTAAGAAATATAAGTAAAAGGCATTTATTTCGACAGTTCGCAAAAAAAAACCCAGAACCCATATACATATATAATATTATTTTTTAAAATCTGACAATGTATCACATCATCCAAACAAATATAATTATTTCTGAACATCAACGATTATACATCAACGTGTATAAAATTATTTTGTATACACATTCTTCTTTCTTATTTTATATATTCATTGCTGTTGTTTATAAGCATTTTTTTTAATTTCCGAAATGAAAGTGATATACTATTTAATTATGCAAAATTAGACTTTTAGTTTTAAAGAAGTAACATTAGTTGTTACATATAATGTGTATTTTTAAATTCAAGAATAATGTCATTTTCTCTAGATATTTGTGAATATCATAATGTTAACAAATGGAAATGTGGTGAGCCATTTCTTTTATTTTCTCATCAGGTCGTCTTTTCATAAAATCAAATAAATAACAATTTAATCACACTAAGAAGATGATCTATTATCCTACGCCTGATGCTTACTTTAAGTCTGTCATTACTATGTAGTGACGGTATTTATAATATTCCTCAAAAACCAGAAAAACATAGGTATTTCAAAATAACTGTAAAGCATTTGAGATGATTTCTTAAAACTGACAGTTATATCCTCAAATCTTAATTCAGTTATAAAACGGTTAAAAGTTTTAAAAATAATATCTAATCTCGATTATCATTAATATATTGTGATGTAAAATTATTTTTTATGTTTGTGTCCATAAAACAAATTAAAGAAAACGGCCATTACTGGACTGTTTTCAAAGGAAACAACTAACATCGCAATACACGAACCATTAAATACATATTTTTGTAATTGAAATTTGTGTTTTTTCTATGTTCTCCATAACATACGAAAAGCACTAATACATACAGTGGTGGCAGACAAATATTAGAAACACCGAGTATTTCAACTTTCCTTAATAGAACTGCTTCATTATTTTATAATATGGCATCTATAAGTTCCTAAAAGGTATGCTGAAGAACTAAGCTTGATTCTGAGAAGGCACAACTTGACGTAAAACATGGCGGTCTCGATCACCCGTGATGATCTTCCAACCATTGTTACAGTTTATATTTATGGGGTAATTGTCATAGTCGTTGTTAATGTTTCTTTTGGAAAACCGAGAAGTTGTACAATTGGGGTCACTAAGTCGGTTTCCTAAAATGATGTTTTTGCTTAACAACTAACGTGAAATAGAAGTTATGTCGGTTTAAATGTTACAAATCACTTGTATAAGCAGTAATTGGAAAAACAAATTAATCAGTCAGCTTTGAACCTTGTTCATTTAATACCTGGAAAAGAAGGAGCACATCTTTAAGAAGGTGGTTTTGTCCAGCCCCCATGTATACATACTTGCGAGTTTCTCTTTATATATTTTTTGAAATAAATAATAACTATTAAGTGAAATATAAAATTTGGTCTTACCTTACCAAATGAAAAGTCTTATTTTTGTCTTTCGTTATCTTGATTATGTTTCATAAATTTTCCTATTATATTCATAATAGATCTTTAAAAAATTAAAAGAGAAATTTGAAAACATAAACAATAAAAAAAAAGACTTTTCATTAGTAAGGTAAGACCAACCTTTTATACTTTAAATTAATAGGGTCCACACTTTCCGAACAAATATTCAAAATGTTATTCTCCAAAACGTTATTCTCTTTCAGTTACTTACATCATAAAAACCAATCGATTCTTGTTCCATGTTCCAAAATCTCTCAAAGTTTTTTCATCGCGTATGCTGAATATCCTAGAGTGTGTCAATGCCTGTCGTGAATGGTCTGGATGTAAATCTGCTGAATGGTTTGTCTCAGTCAAATACTGTCAGTTAAAAAAAGCTGACCACACAAAGTACCCATTGTTCTATACCAACTCTCAACACATCTACATGAATATGGATTGTAACAGTAGTAAGTTCTTTACAGTTTGTTACATACATGATCGGAAATATTAAAAAATTAAGAAAATGTTTTTTTTCTTATCCTTTGAAATGAGTTATCAATTTTAAATAACATGGATAATGTGACTATTGTGTTTTTGTTTTAATAAGCACTGAAATCAATTCAAACTGAAATATCGTCGATAAATAAATAAAAAACCCACAAATGTTATAGTCAAACTGTTTGTTCCTTGATTGACAAAATGAATGTCAAACTATTACTGAAATCTAAAATATTACTTAAAAAGTGAGAATGTTTATAAACTCTGAAGAGATTGCTATTTGTTTACGATATTTCTACTAACATCAGCCAAAGAATATTTGTATTCAGTAATATTTTGATTTTAATTATTACTGGATATGTTTTCTCAACTCCCTCTCTCTTTATACGTGTATATATGTACGTGTGTGTGTATATATACATCTTTTATAAATAAGAAAATATTTTAAACTTATATTCAGATTTATTTATACATTTTGTAATTTCGATGTAAAGTAATTTAAAGTTTTTGTCTCATGGATTATATACATTTGTTGTAAGAAAGTGTTCTGTATAAAATGTTGTAAGAACCAGTAAATGATTTAAGTGAATAATATTTCGCCCTAAAAGTTTCCTTAACAGAGTTTCTTTCTTAAGTTTTACAATTCGTATTTTAAAACGGTTTTCGACCTATTTGTCATAGCTAGATCAACTATAAATTTCACCCTTTCATAACTTGTCAGAGTATATTTCTAGTTGTTCTAGTGTCTCTAAGTTGATCTATATACCCTTGTTTTTCAATAACTTCCATAACTTGTCAGAGTATATTTCTAGTTGTTCTAATGTTTCTAAGTTGATCTATATACCTTTGTTTTCAATGTTATTATTCCTGTCTCAGAAATTTTAATAACGATTTTTCAAATGTAGCTAGTAATTAGAGACGTTTATTTATCTTTTTTATGCTATCAGAGATTATTTACTAAAAGCCTTATTTTTTATTTTACTTCTTATATATAAATGAGAGAATGATTAATCCACAAAATGCCAAAGAAGAAAGACCAATGTTCACAGTTTCTACTTATAACTCCATATTTAAGTTTACAAAAAAAAAAGACAAATATTTCCTGTAACAGTGGAACACACATCTTTAAGAACATAATCTGAGCAAAATATATCAAAATATAAGATTTTTATATAACCACAGTGCTTTGATATCTGTTACACTCAAAAGTATAATGTCTTTTGCTCCATCTATTTATCTTTTATCATATTTCATCTTTTTGTGTAAGGAATTGTCAGGTAAAAGCTAACATATTTAGGTATAAATATATATTTTATGATGGAGCATTTTGAAATGAAAACTAAATTGCATGGCTATTGTCAAGATTTACGATCGTCAGAAGTAGCATGACCTGGAGGTGGTAACATAGACTTTAACGACGTGGTAAGGCTCCAAAATCATTTTATAATAAATACTCAATATTTGTAGTTATATATGATAAAATACATTTTCAAATAAACTTCTATTGTATTACATCGTGATGATGTTGATCTGTATTATATATGTTTGTATGCATATGTATAAATTCATTAATATCATAGATACATGCTTAATTATTATTGATAAATGATAGAAAAATCAGTGAGTTTAATTTGATCGTTCTCATTACAATAAATATTTGCAAACGTTTTACGTTGAATTATTATTATGATTTTCATTCTTATTTTATATTTAAAGAGTTATCTGCTGAAATTATGGAACCATCAACGTTTCTTTCTAACTATTTGATAATAAATCCTGATACTCCGGTATTAAACACTTTAAACACCTCTGATGTAAAGGAGTGTAGGGATGAATGTGGGAAGAGTGACAAGTGTGAGGCCTTTAGCCTAACACTTTCCGACAAGCTGTGTGAGCTGTTTCCAACTCTTGGCAGAGATTTCAATGCTTCTGGTAAAATAAGACCAGTTTATGAGAAGGTAAATATATTGCATGTCCTACATAATTAAGCTAAATTTCATATTTTTCCAGTTTGGAGTTATTGTAGTTCGAACCAAATTATGTTTGACTCTAACAGTTACAAAATGTAAGATAAAAATATTACAATATGAAGAGATGTAAATTATATATTAACCTTCGGTTAAGTTCCAGCAATAGATTCGTTTTTTATTGTACCTACTAAAAATCACAGATTCAATCCGTATCCACTCCAATCCGTGGCATGAATAGAAAAAAAAAATTACAATCTCCATTGGAAAGAATTCTACGAAACGTCTTGATTCAAGATTTCAAATACAAAAACCAATACTTCGATTATCCTTCTCAACTAAACAGTGTAAGTATTTAGGGCTGTACTCGCCGCCAAAGGGCGCTACATGTGTGTCGACCACAAAGAGGAAGGAAAGGGGGATGATACCATTAAAGACAATGACGCCATAGTTACACAAAATGTCACTAGGAGGCAATGACAGGCGGCCATTATGTCAGCGAGGATGACATCATAGTTCCACGCCGTCACCAGAGGGCGTGTTTCTATGCAAAACGTCATTAAAATAACAGTTTTTAACATAATTAAATATAGACATTGATTATATGTGGAAATATAGTGTCAGCCTTTCTTAAACTCATATAAGATAAATAATAAATGTATCATTTATAAAATGAAATATTTTGTCTTGCATATTAAATAAGCACCAAAATCTTTGAAATAATCACTTGATTTATAATTAAGGAGTCAACCAGTAAGTTTTAACTATTTCATGATATCTTCCCTTTAGGACAATTTAAGTATAAATGGTCGGGAAATGTATAGAGCTAATAAATTAGTGTTAAGCATCCTTTTTCAGGAAGATTTACATATAAATGGTCAGGAAATGTAATTAATCAATGAATTACTGATTCAGACCGACTGTATTAAATATAGTCATGTTGAGAGATGTTGAAACCAATTTGTTTTAGTAAAACAATTTATATGTAGAACACCACCGCCTGTCAGGGTAGCCTAGTAACACGTCCTTTATTTCATGGAACTATTACGTAATTATCCGTCATGCCCGTCTGTCATAGCAGCCTAGCAACGCGCTCTCTGGTGATACTTTGGGGAGTTATGACGTCATGGTAGCCTATCATGGAGGCCTAGCAACGCGCCCTCTGGCGATTCTTTGTGGAACTGTAACGTCATTGTCTTTAATGGTCTCATCCCCATTTGCTCCCTCCTTGATGTCGTCATGGTAGCCTATCATGGAGGCCTAGCAACGAGCCCTCTGGCGATTCTTTGTGGAACTGTAACGTCATTGTCTTTAATGGTCTCATCCCCATTTGCTCCCCCTTGATGTCGACACACATGTAGCGCCCTCTGGCAGCGCGTCTGAGATACAGCCCTAACTACTAGAGAATCACTATTCCACAACAACTGTTTGATACTCTTCTAAGTACCTTAACCATTAGAATAAATCAAACCTCTTTTCTTCAGAATAAACTGCATTAAAACAGTTAAGTAACGATGAATCGACTTATAAACAAATCTCTAAAGATGCCACGAAAGATTTGAAACAAATAATTCTTTAACTGAAAAGTGAGAGTTCTCTACTAGATCACTTATTAATAGAACTACAATCGTTCCATAGTCAATCAGTACTACCCTATGGCCTTTCGAAAGACATTAAAGAGATCTTACCACTCTGATATTCTTCCTCATAAAAAGAATCATTATCATGGTTATTTAACCCGATACTAAAATCGATCTTAAAATAGTTACCTTCCTATCTAAACAGTACGAACGATTTTTAAGAAAAACTGAAAACTAAAGATAGAACTTGGAATAACACATCCATCCTATTGAGTTTTAATGCAGCCAATCGATACCCATCTATTCCTGTATCAGAAGGAGTTGACAATATGCTTGATTTAAATCTTTCACGAGGGAACAACATCAATCCCTATGGCATTTTCTTCTTATGGCCATTTTTTTAAATACTTTTATTCTTCACAATAGTTATTTCATAATTGAAGGTAAAGTATACCAACAATCTAATCAGTAGCTATGGGTAATATAGTAGTGGTAAATTATATCAACAATCTAGGAGAATATCTATGGCAATATAACATCGTTAAAGTGTATCAACAATCTAATAAGTAGCTATAGATAATGTGGTAAATTATATCAACAATCTAGGAGAATATCAATGGCATCGTTACATATTACAATTTAAAATGATCTGAAACTGAGTTAATTGGTAAATTTAAATTTAGTTGTTAAATTGTACTTTGGATTTAGTATATAAATATATGCCGATATATCTCCAATTTATGATATTTGCCAACAAGATTGATAAACACAGATTTCTATTTTTTAAACACAAATACGTTTTAATATACACACAACAATACAATTTACAATAACAGTTATTACAAATAGTTATTACAAACAATGATTTATAAACAGAAGTTTCACAAACTTACAAGCAGTATAAAGTCTTATTTCTAGTCTGGAACTTCTTCGATATCTTATCGAGGGTTTATGATGAGTGAGTTAATTACGAGTTGACATAGGTATAATTCACTTAACAGGGAGCTAGCTAGCTTTGTCCTTCGTTATTCACCAGCCATAAAGCCGAGTTTTCCACCGTTGAAGTTAGGTAATGTTTTCGTAAAAATACTAATGTCCGATGAGAATCCACTGAAGTTGAATAATTTGTAATGTTCGAACTTTGTAAAGGTTCCTGGTCAAATATCTGAAGTTTTCCAATTGATAAGCGTTATAACAATTACAGTTATAGCTTCCAAAATTTATAGCACACTGACTATAGCAAACTAATAATAGATATTCTCTTTTGGCACGTCGCGTTGGTTATACTTATAGGCGTGTGGAGGCTTTCTAGAAAATTCAGATTAGGTAACAATACAAAGCTACATTTAAGCGTTTACGTACATACATATATTGTTGATTCTTGCTCTTGAGAATATTCTACAACTTTGGAGAATAGGCGGGAGTTTCGCAATACAAGCTATGTATGTTTCTAAATATAAATTTAATCTAAACAAACGTTGATGTTAAAATAAAATCTAATAATCAATCCGTCACACAATATAACATCGGTAAAGTGTATCAACAATCTAATCAGTAGCTATGTGTAATATAGTAGTAGTAAATTATATCAACAATCTAAGAGAATATCTACAGCAATATAACATCGGTAAAGTATGTCTATAATGTAATAGAGTTGCTATGGGTAATATACCAGCTTCAATTTTCACCGTATTTTTCATGCACTATTCCGAAACTAGAGCGTTTAAAAGCAGTCGACTCACTACCAGAAATATGGTATGAATATATCGACGATATCTTTGGTAACCGGAGGATTGGTTAAAACACTGAAAATACACACCTTCTTAATAATTTTCACTCCAACATCAAGTTTTTAGAACCCTCGGGACAAAACAATAACTTAACATCTCAGACTTAAGTCTTTCAATAATAACACAATACAGAAACACAAACCACTAAAACAAAAAAATACTTTTGCACTTTGATGTTCAGCATCAAAAAATAAATAAAAAACGCGGAGAGCGGAGTTATAATTGGAGAACTAAATGGTATAGACGGAATGTACAGCAAAATACGTTATCTACGACGAGAACGTGAAACCTGCGGAAGGTGAAACAGAACAAACCCCACACAGCCACGTCTTATACAAATGCCCCCCAGTGGCACAGCGGTATGTCTGCGGACTTACAACGCTAGATAGCCCATTGTGTAGCTTTGTGCTTAATTATAAACAAACAAACTTATACAAATGGTTTGTTTGTTTGGTAGTTAATCACAAAGCTACACGTTGGGCTATCTGTGCTCTTCCCACCACGGCTATCGAAAGCCGGTTTCTAGCGTTGTAACTCCGTAGATATACTTCTGTTCCACTGGGGAGCATGGAAATGGAAACCAAGAATGTTCTCTAGCTGAACATTATTAAACAACGACTTATAATGTATATAATTACACTTCTTCTAACATTTTTTATCTAACTTATACTATTCCATATGCCAGTGTATGAAAATTACAGCTTAGCATAATTTAATGTTTATTTATCAGTTATTTATTTTGCTTATTTTATTATAATGTAACTCATATACCAGCTTGAAAGGAAACATGTTTGATTACAGATCGCAGAAAATGATAATATATTTTAAACATTTTTCACGTACGTACCAAACACGAACCACCCTGTGGCTCAACGGTAAGTTTGCATCGTTATGAGGCCTTATAACGATAAAATTCTGGTTTCAATACTCGTGGTAGCCATAGCACGCATAGCCCACTGTGGAGCTTTGTGCTTAATTACAAACAAACAAAGCTAATTTACCAGTCTGAGGAATTTAATGACTTTTAAAAACAATTTTCTTCCACTTTCTAAACATTATTTTTTTACCTGATTTTAAAGATAAATATGAGCCACTAATTTTCATAGCATTTGAAATTACTGGTATTTTTTCACCGTTTTTAAGTTAGTTAGTTTTTGATAGAAATATTTTTTTTTAATATTACAGCTCTGGACATGTGATTCGAAGCCTTGCCAAAACGGAGGAATCTGCGAACGTGTAGACGATTTTACTTACGTCGACAAAAGACTTCGTGAGTACAAATGTTTGTGTCCACCAGAACACACGGGTTTTCACTGTGAGAAAGGTAGGCAAACAGATTTTCATAAATTAGGTATTAAATCAATATCATCAAAATTTTTTAAATCTTTAGAGTACAAGTCAATGTTACCAGTAACTCAATTAACTAATTCTGTGTCTTAAAAGCGTTTATTTTGTTCAGATAGAATAAGATAAATTTGAAGAATTGAGTTTTTGATATTTCAGAATACATCAGGAAGCGATTAACTATCTTGCTGTATGAAAAAAGAGCAACAGCTTACGTTAGAAAGCGATTAACTATCTTGATGTATGAAATAAAATAACATTCTGAAACATTTTAAATTAGCTGTTGTCTTGAGACAGAGAAATTATGTTAAAACGAATCAACTGTATCTTTCTTTCTTTGAACAACACCTGCTAAAACACGTGTAAAAATATCAATCACATTTTGTAAACATGAATTTTACAAAATGAACAATTCTATCACACTGTTCAAATTTATTCATCGAATTGTAACAATGCCATTCGTTATTCTAGCGACATACAAATAACTACAGTTGATGCTTCTTAGAATTCAAGTTGGTGTCATTGAATTATTTCGTTTTATCTCGTAAGTTATATTTACATATCCTAGCAGAAATGCTCACCCTCCTGGCAGGTATAACTGCTAGTTCCTGCGGAGGCCTCCGGTCTTTTCTGGAATTGTCTGACAGTTCTACAACAATGTACTCATACTCACCATCCATGAGAAAAAGGATTTTTATTGAAGTTATCATCACAGCATTACATCACAGAGTAGATTTTATTGAAGTATTTCTTTGTAGACACAGTTATCAATGAAAGTGCCTTCCTTTTCTGTTGCAACACTCATGAGATTTTCGCTAAAGGAAAACAAATAATTTGTTTACAATTTGTTTTTTAATTTTTTATATTTGAAAATGACTAATTTTTGTAATTTTAATTGATTAACTCGGAAACATATCACTTATGTGGAAATTTCAATTGTTTTATTTATTGCTCAGCTATAAAAATACTGCCTAGTTATAAAATATCATCCACTTGTGATTGGACGTTTTGGACGTATACATCGCAAGCTCCATTATAATAACGCATGCGAATATGTTTCTATATAACGTAACTATATGCTTTATACAATAATCGTTGAAGTGAAATGTGTTGATGTTTTCACATTATCTGATTGATTTTGTAGAGTCTCCAATGAATATATGTTCAACATACGTTGATGTTATTATTGGCTTATGTGGATGTATAACTAATCATTATTCACAGATTAATACATAGAACATTACATAGAACAGCAAATTAATTTAAACCAACTTCAATAGAAATCATAGCGGAAGAAAGGAAAAGGATTGGGTAGGAATTAAGAATGACAAAGTTACGAAAGGCCCTTGCAAATTCCAAAGTGTTTTGTTGTTTTTTACTGAAATTAAGCCCTATTGATTGAAATGGTTAAATGAAACATTCAAAGCTGATTCTGGTATAATATAACGTTGTTTATACATAGAATCCTACATTATTGCGTAACAATAATGTAACCAACCACGCCAATGGATATATATGTAACACCGTCTATTTGTCATTATCTTTGAATTTGTACATGAATGTACAAAGTCGGCATTAAGAATTGATTTTTCTTAACACAAACCTTCAATAAAGACACCTTAAATCATATTGCTAATAATAAAGTTAACATTTCAACTTATAAACTTGGTATTATGTGTGTACAAATTAATAACTGTGCTTGGTTAATTCAATACACAGATGATTAGCAATGCGTGGTTTGATTGTTTTTTAATGCTGGTACTGTTTGATTTGCCCGGTATAATACATACATGTGACTCAGCGATAAGCTTAAAGGATAACACTAAAATTAGGAGTTTGATTCCTGCGGTAAACACTTCATAATAACCCCACTATACAGCTTTGTACTTAAGAATAAAAACAAACACAAATGTAATTATTTTGAGAAACAACCAGAAAATTACTTTTGTTTTCTAATTTAATGGGATTCGTGGTCGAGGATGATTAATATATTTCGAAATATCGTTTGACATAATTTTGTGTAAAAGTTAAATTAATACATTAACTTCTCATCAACTTGTGAACTCACGAACCATCTTATATTGTCTTTACGATCTTAGAAATGACAACGAAAGAAGCAGAAGCAGTAAAGTTTCACCGGCTTAATTTTCAAATTAAACCAGATGCTCCAATACTGAAATCTTTGAAGATCTCCAGTGTAAAGGAATGCGAGGATGAATGTGTGAAGACGGTCCAATGTAAAGCTTTTAACGTGAAACTCTCGTCCCATCAGTGTGAGCTATTACCATGTTTAGATGGTAATTCCAGTACATTTCAATATGATCGAGAAAACGATCTTTATTTGAAAGTAGGTGTGCTCTCTAACCCTCTTATCATTATCATAGTTGGATTTTCTTTTTAGGAGATCACATATATATCTTTTAGCCATTTTATATGCTTGGTCTTTTAGAAAACACGTATAGTATTATCGCTCTAGAAATGCTTTACGAGATGAAGAATTATTGAACCAATCTGTAACGTACCAACAGATTCTAAATAAATTACAAGTTATGTAGAAAGCTGTAATATTAAAGTCAAGAGAACTAAATATTGTCAGGAGTATTAATCAAGTGAGAATCATCATTTCAAAATCTATTTTAGCAAGATACACTTCTTAACTTTTGTACTACTGTTTCTAGAATAAGATATTGCCGAATGTTTATGCTAGTTGTAGGAAGATTCTAGTACAGCTCAAAATGATCCAAACAACGATCTTTATTTTAAAGTAAATTTGCTTTATTTCATATAATGTTTTTTTTTCCTATTGATTTTCTGTTTAACATCTACAGTTATATCGTTGCCTTCTCTAAAGTAACTGGTTGGTGTGTATTATAAGAGTAATACGTTATCAATAGGAATAAAAGCTTATTTTAATGAGATGTGTGACATTGTGTTATAACATGATGTGAAAAAATGAGAGATCACCAGTTTAAGTCTCGAGCAAGATTTAATATTTCTGTACCATATTAAATGACTGAGTAATGACATGAATGTACTTATATATATTCATTATGTGATTTTAAATTATAAATAAAACCAGGTTCTTTCAGTGGAGAGATAAAGATAAAAATGGTTTTTAAAAACTTCAAAGGATGCATGTAGAATTTAATTCCTAAAGTTATAAGAAATATTGATTTATTTTCAGTTTATTTATGAATTAAATATTCTTATATGAAGAAACTCCTGTTTAATATTGTTTTTTACAGACGTTTTAGAGAAACAATAATTGATGGAAACAATAAGGGTTGTAGAATGGTAAATGTTTGTCGTAGAGATATTAGTTGTATATTAAAAATGAAACCATGGTTTTCTTCTGATGTTTCTACATAGAAACTTGAATATAAATATGTTAGTGAAATCAGAGGAAAACTTCCAACAGGATGTGTTATTGATGCAAGCATCTTCTTTAGAAGAAAGTTAAGTTTGAGAAAAACACAAAGAAATAAAAAACTATTATCAATAATAAAAAAGGAGTTTTGAACTCTGCTAACTCGAAGTGGTTTTAGGCAAAATATGGATGAGATATGTTTCATCTTACAAATTTCACGTTAAAAGGAAATTAATACATAAAAAGACGTCACAAATACGTAATTTACAGAAATGTAGGCACTTCTGGTAGTGTTTCTGTTCTAGACTTCTAGGAAATCTCATTATAAGTGTATTAATGCTTTTACAAAAAGCTGGATAGATGAAGTGAACTAACACAAGGCCTTTATTATTCGTCAAAATATTTATGGAAATATCATTGTAAAGCAGTTGTGAAAAGTAGCATAGTAATACATATGTAGAAAGACCTATAACGGTGATTTGTTCAATTACTTATTACGTTTGTGTATTTTTTTTTTACAAACATTTGTAATAACAAATTCATAGTTTAAAGTGGGGGAAATATTTTATGGTATTGTACGGATTCTAGCCTCACCCGCCAGCTACGAAATCTAAAGCTCTACCACAAGCACACCCGTGCGTCAATGTTTATATTCATATATGTATTGTTTTACTTATAAAATGTGTTTCGATACGGTATAAGATTTTCTAGTTATTTATGGAATTGCTTTGATATCTAAGTATTCGATGAATTAAAGTATAATTAATTAAGATTTAGAAAATCTTATAAGCAATACAGGTGTGGACACGTGATTTGAAACCTTGTCAAAAAAGGAGGAACATGCGAACATGTAGAAAACTTCGGAACCTTTGGCGATTAGCCTCCGGTACTAGCTCGTATGCTTTGAGAATAGCTGCTTTAACTTTATCATAATTCGTACAATCTTCCAGAGAGAGTGACATAAGCTTCTTGTGCTTTACCAGTTAAAACACTTTGTAATAATAATGACCATTTTTCGGTGGGATATTCCATAGTTTGGGCAACCTTCTCAAAATGTTGGAAATATTTATCAACTTTATTTTCATTCAACGGTAGTATTTTAACATATCGATTAAGTTCAAAATTCTCATTTTGCCTTGGTCGTTCGGAGTTGTACCTAATTTCTATTTCTTTCAGCCAATTTTCTTTTTCGGCCCGGAGACGTTTGTTTTCTCTTTCAACTTCGATACGAGCTTGTTCTTTCTCGGCTTAGATACGAGCTTTTTCAAGCTCGATTTGTTTGAGTTTTAGCTGGATCTCCAACTTATATTTATCACTCAACCCTGATTAGCTCGTGGGGACACTAAAGTATTCCCCTAATGCTTCCTCAGACAATGTGTTTCGATACGGTATAAGAGTTTATATTTATCTATGGAATTGCTTTGATATCTAAGTATTCCATGAATTAAAGTAAAATTAATTAATTTCAATTTGAATGCATTTTTAAAAAATCTTATAAACATTAAAGGTGTGGACATGTGATTCGAAACCTTGTCAAAATGGAGGAACTTGTGAACGTGTAGAAAATGCCACTTTCATCAACGGTATACCTCGTGAATACAAGTGTTTGTGTTTGCCTGAAAATTGTGGGTTACACTGTGAGGAAGGTAAGAAGAATTTCAAATAAGGATGAAAAGAATGCCTTTAAGATCTAGCAGCTTTAAACGGACAATTATAGAATGATTTTCTATTTAAACTGCAACATATTCATAGAATCTCTCAAACATAACTTTGATCATTCATAGTTTGTGTTTTTGTTTGTTCAATTTATTCCAAACCCAGCCATGACTAATTACAAAGTGACAGACTAGCAATAGAGTTTGTGGCTCGAAACAGAGCTGGTTTTTATCTAAAACAAAATCTAGATTTTAAATTTTATTTAAACTTTACAGGGATAAACAATGCCATTACTTTTGTTCTTTTTTTGTGCAAAGTTTCCCGGAACTGTGAAGAGCAGTTTTCTTGCAAAGTGCTTGTAAAATTTTAAATCGCTTGTGCCAGTTGGTGGAACTCAGACTGTCTTCCTTAATGCACAGAAAAAATGCGGCAGCTGGACATCTAGTTGCCACACCTAAGTGTAGCTTAGATGCCATGCTTGTCAAAATGATGTAACCAAACCAACACCAACACATGAACATACCTTAACCTGTTCAAACATCTTCCAAGTGGGCTAATTGTAGTGCAGTGGTGAACTGTAGTAGGAGGCAAGAGTATAAAACAAACCACGAAACAAAAAGGCTTAGATCACTTCAGTACTATTGCTCTGAACCTCATGTAAAAAGTATTAGACGTAAATATTACCTATTTTATGAACAGTATGAGATAAACTGTAGTTTTCAAAAAAGTTATGATATCTAAACCAAAAACAACTTGGCTGTAATAAACAAAGCATAGCCTAGAAAAAAGTTATTTCTTATACAAACAGTGACTAAAATTGATTTAAAATTGTTTTGCTATCATGTTTGTCAGTTTCATTAACGATAGCACAAGTATGAGTTACTTGTCATTTGGTCGAATTCTGTATGATTATGTTTATGTTAATATTGACAAAAAAGCGGCTAAATTACAAGTAACTCATTCATTAATAAAACTGGCATAACAAAATAATTTTAAACCAATTATAGGGTTTATTTTTTAGCAAGCAATTTTAAACTATGTATCCAATAATAATAATTGCCTTGGCCGCATTCTAATATTAATTCTTCTAGTCGCTATTTGTATAACAAATCACTTTTTTCTTGGCCACACTTTTTTTTTACAGTCAAGCTGTTTTGGGTTTAATTATCTATTAACAAAGGCAAGCATGTGCACTGTACAATAGGCTTCACTGTTAATAGACTTTTAACTTACTGATTTGACCTTAATTCTAATTTTTTTTTCTCCCAGACTGAAAAAGCAAAGCATTATGTAATATATTTTATAATGTCTTCCACCTCAGTGTACTTACACTACCTATATCTTTGACGACTGTTCCAATATTAATTGAGGTCATATCCTCAAGGCATCTATCTTCTAACCTGCAAGTAGTAAAAAATGATGATTCTACTTTAATTTGTTCTATCATACAACAATCTCTCCCACGAGAAAGCACACATGACATCATAGAGGAATAACCCAGAACAATAGGTAGCTAGAGCAAACCTACACATTCTTGTATGTGTAAAATATTTTGAAAATGTTTTGAGAACATGAACTTTTCACCTTAGGCATAAAACGAGAAATATGCTTTAAATATCACACATTTCCCCTCTTCTTCACCTCCACCTTCAGTTGTATCTAACTTTAAATGGTTATATTTAATTGAACAAATTAAATCTGCATATTGTCTATGAAACTGCTGTCAGTTGCTCTCATTTCTGTGAAAAAACGTATACAACACTGCATATAAACACAACACTATACAAGCAACACACCTCCTTAACAAAGATACAATTTATATTTCAACTTAAAAATCACAGTATTACAAAGACATCGTTCAACAATTAAGTTAGATTTCATGACTGAATTTGTAATACCTATTCAAAATATTCTAACAATTATCGTATTTAACAATACATAAAAAAGGCTCTTTAATACAAAAGAATAAAAAAAAATTTAATGTTACTATAAGAATACAAAAATCACGGATATCAAGTTATCCTTAAGCAATTGTAAAGCCATTGTTTAATATGCATGTACAGAAACATTTGATGATAATACTGGAGTTGTTGACAAACCAGGGTATTATTTAATCTCTATCAGAACACCCTTGAAAAGTTACGTTGCGGAACATATGGGGTCCAACTGGACCCCAGCACAAAATTACCATTATAGTAAGCTCTGGATTTGAGATCCAAAAACCAATTGCATTACAACTTTTATTAGGGTTAGCATGCAATGTGAACAATTTAAAAGGCTACAACAACGAAGCGCAACCTAATCTTGTTATCAACAGGTCAGATCGACCACTAAACCGTACTGAACTACAACTTCTGAACAAAGGCCTCAATTTTGCCGTCAGTCACAAGACAATTCCCTGCCTAATATAATCATACTAATACTATAATCATGAACAACATCGAAAAATTAATTAACAACATCCTTTCAGACAATAAAAAATTTAATCCCATCCCAAACAACAAACATACATGAAAAACAACTGAGTTGATTTCTGTGCCATCAGACTGTTCAAACCATCATTTATATACATTAGATTGATTATAGAAAGCAGCATGAAGCAGTACTGTGATTCGAACGTGACAGAATTTTCACAACACCTATTGCAATGGAATCTACACTACAGGGTTATATCAACGGTATTTTGAGGTTTCAAAACCGTTTTGAAATAACTTTATACAACAATGGGCTAAACGGCAAGTCAGATACTCCTAAAAGTCATCCCTAATTTTAAGTTACTGACCAAAGGAAGAGTAGCAACTCAGCAGCATTGTTGCTACAAGGGCTTTATCCGACTCTTCGAACCAACTTACGGGATTGATAGTTACTCCTTATATAACACTCACAACTGAAAGTGTAAGCGTGTTCAGTTACATCATGTCTTTGATTCTATATCTTTCAATGGGCAGTTTTGTATGTGAATCGCTAGGCCACGTTCGTCTTTCGGAATGTGGAAATATAACGTTGGTTTTAAGAAGAGGTTCGGTTCCTCGTGGTGAACACAGCAGATAATCCATTGTAGTTTTGCTCTAAAAGAAACAAACAACCACTAAGACGAAAATACAGATAAGAAATGCTTGGTTATCTAATGTTATTTTAAATGATATATATATGTATTAACTTTTAGACCTTCTGCTATTGATTCTAGGCTTAAAAGGAGATTTAAGGATGTAAATGTTATGTCCTACATAGGGCTAGCAAATACCTTAAATTTGTTTTGCAGTTTTGTCACCAGAGTGTTTTCTCTATTCTAAAACACAATAATTATATTTAAAATTGTACTCAAGTTTTTATAATTCCGTATGTTAAATCCTGAGTGTCATCAAATGTCTCAGGAACACAAGAATAATATATTCTATTTGTTGTAATAATGAAACGATTACAAAATGTATGAAAAGCATAGCATGAACATATAAAAACATGTTTTGTTAAATATCTTTCTCTCGTAAAGTTAAACACTTCTCTTTAAAACATCCTTCTTTCCAGATGCTTACAAAATCGAAAGCTATTGGGATATTACAGATGAAGACGTAAAGGCTGATATATCAGTATGTGCCAAGCAGTGCCAGGAAGATTCACAATGTACATCTGCTGTTTATATTAAGCATCACAAGTGTTATACTGATAATGCTGAACCAAGAGAGCTTGCCGTACTTAATGATCAAGAAACTGTCTACATCCATCTTAATAATCGTTGTAATACACAGGAATAATCTTAGAACACCACGCCTTATTTACTATGTTGAAACAGCTACTTTTCCTGATAATTATACACAAATCTCCATCCCACATTCAAAGAGACACTTCACTACTGATTCAGACGCCTATGATATATTCATCCGTAGATATAGAATATAACCCAATAACTATTATTTAAACATACATATCAAAATACGTGGTGTAATTTCAATAATTCAATTTTTGTATTATTTAAACAAACCAAATTGTAAAATATGGAAATATCTTTAATAGTATTTCCTAGCTGTGTCTAAACTATTAAAACGAAACAAGAAGACTAAATATATATTTTACGTTTCTTTCAGCAAATTTCAAGTTTAAACCTTTGATTCGAAATTCACATTTTGGGTGAACAGGTTTCAACTACATAATTTCCCCAAAAAATGTATAATTAAAGATATGAGATAATCACTTAAATTTATTTCTGTTGACAAAGAATTTTCAAGAATGGTTATAATTAGTTGTGTTTTTTAGTATCGAAGTACGAGCTATATTTAAACTAGATGTTTTTTATTTCCCACAATACATTTTTTCTATCATGTTTCCTGGCCAACCTAGCAAGCTAAGAACTTTGCAACTATCTTTTAAAAATATTCAAAAAATTTCTTATGAAGTTTTATAGTTCAGCTCGAAAAACGCTGTCCTCTCACAATTTCTTGATTTTATCTAATAGTAAAATTAGTTATGAACGTTTTGTTTAAATTCATAAAGACATTTAATGATAATTTTCAATCTTTGAAGCTTCTTTTGAAACCGATGCTGTATTCAGTTTTCACCTAAGCGTGTGGTTATACAAATGGTGTGAGAGCTGTAGTAATGCACACATTGTAGTGTAAGTTTTGAATTGGTGTTATATTGTTAGCTGTTGTTAGATGGATGTGTCCTAACTCTAAGTATATAAATTTGTTTATAGGCTTAAAATTGAAACAACTCAATTTTCAATACAGTTGAAGTAGCTAAACGAACTAAACTGTGTGTTATATTACTGAGTTAACAAGTTAATTTTCTTTATTGTGATTCGGTTATATAATACTTTTACCCAAGCCTGTCAAATATTTTATCAAAACGATAAGACTGCGGTTTGAAAATCTAATTTTCTTGCTTTTTTCTGGGATTAAATATTTTCGCTGTTGTTGCATGCACTCGGTGTGTTTGTTTCATATATTTCTTAAACAGATTGTTTAGATTGAGCCTGAACGCCACCTACTGATAGATCATACGTTTATTAGTCAAATGTAATGTTACTTGTATATCTCAAACAAACTTTTTTTTTAATTATCAAAACAAACTAAGACGTACTTTTCTGTTTCGAATAGAACTGTTTGGGTAAAACATCGCCTCTTTTAAAAGAGACATGCCAAACTTAAAGTACAATTCACACTATTAACTGGTTGATACAAAAATGATAAATTGGACAAAGAAATTAAATAGTGTACATACCTCTAAAATTAAGTATACAAATTTGCCTCATTATTTCAATATTACGAGCTGACATTTATAATTGTCACTATCTCACTGTATTCAAACATCGCTATAAACACGTTGTTTTAATGTATAGAGAAGAAACAAAACCACAGTGTGTTCTGTTGGTTGGTTGTTTTTTCGCACCTTGCTTCACAAGGGTTATCTACGCTAATCGTCTCTGATCTAAACCGATATACTAAAGAACAGGTAGATAGTCAATAGTACTCATTGCCAACTTTTCGGTTACTCTAATCAAGTAATGGAACTTATAACGCAGTCATTGTTGGAAAGTGCTGGATATAAACCTTGGACCTTCAGATTCAATGTACAGCACATTAACCAGTAGACCACTAATATGTAAGCTTTATGTTTATTCTAGAGCCAAATTTGAGCTGTGTTGCTTACAACAACAAATTATTATTTAATTTACAATTATTCTCAAATAGACTGAATGACATCAAATGTCTCAGGACATATTACAAACATTTCTTCAGGCTATGGATCTAAATTTCCATGATGAAAATATCCCTTGTTATTAAGGGAAGTGTACGAAAGAAATATGAATCAACTTGGGACATTGCACGATTCAGAATGCGAACTGCACAAGTTGTACTTCAGTGCTGTAAGCCTATTGTAACAGTAACTCGCATCTGTTTCATATATACACAGATTTCTATCTGTATATGTATAAATATAAAAATCTAATATCTGTATAATCTAATCCGGTTTAAGAAGTAAGTAAGTAGTAATTCTTAACACATACGTATACACCCATTGTTAAAAAATAAATATTACAGTTAAGCCATAGTCAATGTGTCAGCCAATCATACGCATCGGCCGGTTTACCACTTAATCCTCTACTACGACTAGTCTTCTTCACGCTAATATAATCTGTATATGATCCTTTAGACCTTCTTACATTTCTATCTTCCTCACCAACTTTACACCTTCTTTTTGGGCTTCCTTTTAATGTCTTCCCTGTAATTGTAACCTCTCTACTTTCCTTCCTCTACATCCAAATATATCTCGCCACGTCAAACACCAATCCTCTGCTACTTCATTCTGTCTCCTTTATCCAATCATTTTTGTGCTTCCTCTTTTGTCATCCTCTGTTGCCACTGGTACCACTGCACCATTATTCTGATCTCTTCTTTTCCACAGTACCTTACCCAAGTTATTAAATGCTCCTCATGCTGTCTTACATGTTTCTTCTTGCCTCCTTTGTCTTTTACCTATTTTCTCAAATACAGAAAAATGTCAACTTTCTCGATACCTCCACCGCATCTATCCTATTGCTCGTAACCATTAGTGAGGGTAGGATGTTTTGCAGCTATGTAAAAATTTTATATTATTAATTTATTTATTGACACACTTCATTCGAAGTCGTATTTCTCAGCTTCATGATTGAAACTACCGAAGATAGTTGCCATCGTCAGGATAGATACTGCTCAAATTGTTGCATCACCTGAACACTCTGGATCTCGGACCATAGACTTCAGCTCTTGAACTGGCATTGCAAACTTTATTGTCTGAACCAGTACGTTCAAGTCTGCGATTCTTGATCTTAACTTTGGCTTAGTAGTTCTTCAATATTCATATCACCAACAAGGTCTACTCGTACACTTTTGCGCGGTCCTTTTTATTTGGGGCATTGATAGTGTCGGTGTGCTTGCTCTGCTATGAGGTCTTATCATTGACCCTAAAAAGTATAGATAAATTGCAAGACATAAATACGACATGTGATTATATAGTCACTAATGAAACTAAATATATAGCAATTATGAAGACAATTTTACAAACATTGTTAAAATATTAATATACATAGTGATTATTAAGGCATAAATATATGGTCGTAGTTAAAACATAAAAGTATACAGTCAATGTAGATTAATTACAAACATTTCAAGAAATGTCAGTTATTTCTGGGTATGAATTACTAAAACCAATTTAAAACTTTTTATAGATGATACTGTTTTTTCTGTTAAAATGTAAATCATGATGAAAAAATAATGGTAATTTTTTGTGTTTTATTTATCCGGAACATTATCATTTTATATCCGTAATACTGTCCAAAAACTACTCTGAAACTCTTTAAATATGACGGAATTATGTTTCTTTAGAATCGAAAGCATTTTCAAAATTATTGTAAGTTTGTTTGTATTTTGAACTTTGTTTATCATCATTCATCATTAACTTCATAAAATAATTGTTGTTAAAATATTAAACAAAGCTAAACATTAAGTTCACTTGGCAAATTCCATTCATTATTTGATCTTAGAAAACGGATACACATTTCTTGTAAACTCTAGTGAAACACCCATAGGTTGTTTATTATAATCATTTTTTAATATATATTTTATCGTGTGTTTATATTGCTTGATAAATGAATTAATAATGATTTATTCGAATGAACATTTCTCATATGAATCATCAATGTATAACTGTTGAACTCGTGGATTTCTTTATGTTAACTTGGACGATAATTTTATTGCTCTAAGAGTTCCTAGAATAACACTGTTTAAATTAATTTCGTTCAGAGATAACATACAATGACGATACAAAGAATACACTAATTTTCGTAAAATTAAGAAAAGAAGACTTCTATCTTCTTGTGCCCGTTTGGGAACACATCATGCTCAAGAAACATTTTAAAATTCATTGAGATATCAATTCAAACCCGCGATTATCGAAAATCATATTACAGGAAAAAACAAAGACAATTGTACGTTTTACAAAAACATTATTTTTTAAAGACCATGGTTTCGCCAGTAAAAGTATCATCAGGCGAAACTATGGTCGTGAATAAATTTGTGAAACTTACAATTTTTCTTCAGTTCTGTAATTATGTAGTTTCACCAAGTACCGACAGTTTCAAGTATCAGTTATGAAAAATAATATTGTTTTCGTTTTGATTATTTTCCTTATCTTGAAACTGGGGAACAACGTAAAAGTTCCCAATTTCATCGCTTGTAGTGTTTACTATATGTGTACCGTTAGCTCATTTCTGAACATTACTTTTAATAACTCATACATGACTCCAATTGTTTTCAACATTTGCTAGAGGATTTAGGGTAAAACTATTATATTCAGCTTGTTGTTCGGGATAGAGTTTAATAAGAAGTAATCATAACGACATATCGCTTATAAGAATTTTATAATTTTCGTTGGATACATCAGTATAAATTTTGTCATTAATTTAATTTCTAGAGAAAACAAATCTCACATCGATATTTGAAATAATTTTTTCTGAAATTAGTAAAGAATCCAAAGTATTTTTAATCGGTATGGATAATTCAATTCTTTTTTGGTAGAATCCATCTTTTGGTAAAACCTCCGTTGTCTGAAGCATTATGTGTAAATGATGATACTAGTTTGTCAGTTTTATCCTTACCATATCATCACCCAATGTTATTGTTCCATCGTCAATAGATGTTAAAATCTTCTTACTTGAAGTTTCTGAAGTATCCATATAGAAGAACATATTAGATGCTACGCCCATTAACCCTTGTACGTGATGAGTGAAAGAGGGTAATTAAATTTCTTCAATAAACCTTTTACCAGTGTGTAATTCAACTCTTAAAAAACCAATGAACTAAGATGGGAAGGTACCATGAGAGTCATACCAAACTCATTTTGAAATAATTTCCAGAGTGAATAAGTATAATAATGGAAAACAAGCTATACATTTTGCTACCTATTTAACAGGATCAGCTTTTACAACATTAAGTAACCATTCAGCTAATAGCCATAACAATCTCAAGCATTAGTACCTTCCTTATCCAAAAGTTTGGCCTGTTGCACCAGAAAAATCATCCGGAGTAACGTTCGAAAACAAGGTAAAGAAAATAAAAGACCTTAGCTAAACTTGAAGAAAATTTGAAAAGGCTTGCCTAATTATTCTACGCAAGTGCTCCTCGTGAAAAAGTTATGGATTTACTGGCAAATGATAAAGTTATAGACGCTTTAACAGAAGAAAATATGAGGTTATTGGTGAGAACCCTTACAGTATGTTGATTGACACGGATTCTACAGCTACAGTAGCTCAATCCACTTTGGTAATGAAAGCTGGGAAATAAGGTGAACAGCAAGTGGACCTAAGGTTCCAATAGGAAGAAAATTAGAAGTTACCCTTACTGTAGAAGCCTTCTATTTGCATCATGATGTAAGAGCTTATTGGAACTGACTTGATGTGGAAACATAGATTTCAGGTTAGACTTGCTTCTATTAGTTTCACAGTCTGTAACAAAGAAAACTCTTTGCACTACATCTAATTGCTAAACCAGATATTGAACTTCCTGTGACAACTAGGAGAATAGTCACTGTACCACCAAGAAGTGAAGCACTCATGCCAGAGCTTGTTAAAAATAAAGTTACATTTAATGATTGGGCCATAATAGAACCAAACACCCAACATGTCCTGATAGAATTATTGGTTTGTAAAACTCTTGTGGATATGAAGAATAAAGATATCATTACTTGGGTCATAAGATTAGAGTCAAATCTGTAAGGGACATCGCAAGTAGTGACCTCTGACGAAAAATGTAGAAAGGCACCCCCGTTTACAAGAGTTACACGACCAGAGCTATGGAAGTCCTTAAACTGATCAATGGCAGAGGTTACATAACTTGCCAATCAATTAAAATGTCTCATAAGATTAATGCTGAAGATGCAGCCCA